GTATAGGCCAGTGTGAGAATAATATCTTTAAAGCTTATTTAATCCACTTTAGCTGAACAAATACTGAATTCTGCCAAAAACATGTCCCCAATACAACCCTGTATCCCCAGCTTGCCTCATCTACCCTATCATTCCAGCTGCATTATGGCACAACAGATTTTGCTCTCAAAAGATAGCATTCAAATGTGTCCTGTTTAGTTTGGGGAAGTGGCACTCATTCAGCCGGGCCATGTCAGGCCGTTCAATCTAATCTGCACTTCTCTTGACATATTGGCTTACGCCTGTTGTGCACTACGCCATTTGACAGTCAAAATCAATGTAGCTTAAGTAGAGATCCTGATCCAGCAGCAGTCACGTCAGCAGCCCTACCTGCCTCCTACCTCCTTAACCCCTGCCGCCTCTATGCGGACCTAGTCGTACACAGCATCATTTTCAATCTATTTTATCTTTCCACTATGAAAAAACCCACTTGATTTAAAACTGCCGGCATGATCGAAACCTATGGTGATGTCTCTTGGGGGTAAAAATTCCATTACCATGTAAAGCAGTTTCCATTTCTATCCTCCCCTTCCTTTAGTTTTATTGCCGATGAATTCAACAGGTTACTTGGACTTTGGGCAAGATTGAAAATCTTTTCCATTTCATGCACTTGAGGATGTGAGTTAAATGGCTTTGTCGATACCATACTCTGTATTTTCTTTATGTCACACACATTATAGGTGAAGTATTTTGTTTTGAGAGCCATTTGGATCAGACAAAGAGACATTGTAAATTTTACATTGTTTGTTGTATTTCAGTGACCCAGTGTGACCCAAAACAGGGTGATTCAAGAACATTTTTATTTGATCACTTTTGGCACATTGACACAGCCACATCTCAAACTGATTAGCTTTGTCTCACATTTGAAGCTCCATTTCAGTCTTTTCTCTTCTATATCTGTGTTTAATATCTATTTGGTATCATCAAAAGCTATTGTGGAACGATGTGATTATACAGAGTGAATCCCCAGGACAATGGACTGTCATGAGTGACAGTGCACGTCAAGATAAATGTAAGAGACATAATGTAAACCTTGTAAACAGAAATATGAAAAACATAAGCAATTCAAGCTAAACACAACCAAAATAGTTCTAAATTGTCAAATTAAAGAAAACAGACCCAGTTTCAGTCCTGACCGCACATCCTCAACCTGTTGAGGAAAGTAATTTAGGCCTTGATACTGTAAACACTCCCAGCACTAAAAATTACAGTATAGAATAAATTCACACTACAAAACCAGCAGTGCCTGTCAGAGATGATTAATGCTCTTCTTACAAAAAACAGCGCTTTCAATTTTTGCATTTTAAGCCATTATGTATACTAGAAATGAACAATTCAAGCTGGGTTATTATGTTCTGAATGGCTGTAATTGGTGCTCAACGGCACAAACAAATCAGTCATCTTCAAATCATTTTTAAAATGTTTTTTATACAGCTTCCGTCTCTTAACCACAGGTGCAATTTTTCTTCTACACTTATGAGGACATTTATTCAATTCAGTTGCTCTCCTAACCCTAAACAAAACCTTATTCCTAACTTAATTTATATAATTTTAACCTGAAGATTTAAGGAAAGGAAAGCTTGCAAGAAAAACACAGATGAACACATATTGTGCGGTAGCTGGGTATAAAGTTAGTCCTCTGTCTGCTCTAGCCTCACCCTGGCCAACCAGGCCTCACAGCATTAGGGAAACATTACCACTATTAAAAGAATGTGCAACACACTCCTTCATGCATTGTTTGTCCTGATGGATGACACCCACAGCTAATGCAAACCAGAACCCACAAGAAAAAATAAGCCTTAATGTGGTTAGGACATAAGCATCCTACATCCTCACTGACAAACACACGCACACATACACCAAATGAAAATTAAAAGAGCTACATTAGCCAGGGCAGAGCACTAAGGGAGCATAAATGAATAGCATTATGAAATGAGAATTGTCAATTGGCAGCAAAGATTAGTTGGCCTGAGCTGTTTTGTTTTTCTACGATGAAAAAAACATTCTCAACATGGGAGAGGCTTTCACCAAACAGCAGTCTGAACAAAGGTCAGGTGATTCTAAATAACCAACAAGCCTGTAGGACACAAAGGACCATAATGAGAATTATTAGCATCCGCATTTGGATTAGTCATGTATATCTAATTCCCGCATGAAGAGTCTTTATCATTCATTTTTATTTATTTATATTAAGGACTGCTGTGCCTTGCATGGTACACTACTAATTAGGTTTAAGTGTTTGAGTGATGTGCTCTGGCAGCTCTGTTCTGATCCGCTGCTTAGTTAATCAGTCCTGCGAGCTCCAGTGCAGACATAGCATGATAAGACATAAAAATAATTCAGTAGACTCAGGTTTACATTAATCACAGATACCATACAGCTCTGTCCATTTCATTATCACTACATTGAGGACATTCCACGCTAAGCACAACTTCAGTTGTTTACACTTACGCCTCTCAAATTATAGATTTGATTTAGTGTTTCGAATTTAAATATAGAGCACTTTCATCCCCGTTTCTCTAGGTTGAAGAGTACATGGTGTTGCAGTGCACATGCTTGCATTTATCTTGTAACTCGTCAAGGTGACAAATGTACCTGTACAATTACGGTCCCATCATCTTCACGCTGAGTTCTCATTCAACAGAAGCGCCGTTTCTAAATTGTCCCTCAGCCGAGCTGGTGGTGAATTCAGCAACACTATATGTATATGACTCATTTCAAGGTTATCAAGGAGACAGTGGCAGCCCTTATCTAGGGCTTCATTTCCTTTCTATTATGGGATATGGCAGGGAGCAGGTCCCACACCACAAAGCTGTTCTTTAAGGGTGTACTGTGGTGCTATAACATCACTTCCCATCTGGTCAACACCTTCACTCCACTCTGAGCCGTGTCTGGGTGGAGAGAGAGGGAGCGAGGAGGGTTTAGTGAAAAGGGACTGGGAAGAGGTGAGAGCTGCAAAAGGAGAGAGGATGGAGGAAAGGCAACACAACATAAAAAATACAAAAAACATAAGAAGGGAGGCTGGCAAAAGTAGTAATGCAAAGCCTGTTGAGTCAGAGCACAGACATTGGGGAAATCAGAAAAGCTCAGAGCCTGTTTGTGTAGAGAGTGTGTGGGTGGGTGTGTGGGTGGGTGCGTGCGTGCGTGCGTGCGTGCGTGCGTGCGTATTTATGTTTGCTACACAATTCTACCCAAACAAAGCACAAAATAAACCCCAAAATAAACACAGTTGCAGACAGTTTCCTAATTCCCTGCACACTTCTCATAATCGAAAGGTAGACACCTACTGAGATCTTTGAGAGTAAGATCTTTACCAATGGTCTGTGGCTGGTTTAAAATGTTGTCTCCACTTCTGGGAGAGAAACAAACATGCACATCTTGGGAGGGAAGGAAACTCTTTTGGATATTGAATGCAAGTATGAATACAGTGTCTCTGAGTCCCACATTCCTGTTGTGATGAAATTCATACAGAAGAATGAATTTTTCAGTACATTCTGGATTATCGCATAGCCACAGATAATCTTCTGACTGACAAAAATTGTGATTGAGGGATTGTTATTTATCAGAACATTTAAAATTGTAAAGACAATATGAAACACTACAAGGACCACTGCAACCTAAAGTGCTTACAAATCGCAACTGTCTTCTTAGACATCCAGCAGGGCAACATTATCATCTGATTGGAGTCATATTTTTGGCCATCTTATGAATTTAAATACAATTAATATTATTTTTCTATTTAACTCTACTATTGTCTCCACCAATTCCTAAGAAACAAAATATGGGATTTATCAGCTCGATGTTCAACTTTCTGTATGTTTTTTGTTGATTTAGTTGTGCAAAGTTTTTATATTTTATAATAATTAAATAATGAATTCTCATTTATAATTATTTAAGTAAAGATGGTAAAGTAGGAAGGCAGCATCTGTTGAGCCAGAGTGGGAGAATCGTGATGTACTGCAAGCATCAAGCTGTCAAAATATGTGTCTGTTTTACATCTGAGCTGTTGGTGTGAAATGTGTGTGCAGCCTGGACACTGTTAATGAAAACACTGGAGCAGCAGTGTGATAGTATGGACAGCAGCAGAAAAGTAGCAAATTCAAAATTACAAAACAAAGTCCTGTCGCAGTGTGCAATGATGTATGTACAATATGTCACAATGCTGATTCTTTGGTGTGTGTGTGTGTGTGTGTGTGTGTGTGTGTGTGTGTGTGTGTTGTAATGTATCTGTAACTGTATACTGTACAAGGTAGCTATTGTTTCTGTGTGCTGTTGTTGTGTGTATGTGTGCAAGGTATGGCATTCATAAATTTAATTTCTTATTAGGGAAGTAGGCATTAACAGTGCATTCACTATATGTGTTGTCATGACTTCTATGTAAAAATGAAGGGATGGGCAAGAGACAGGGGGAGGGGAGAGTGGGAGAGAGAGATTGTTGATGAGCTGGGAGCCAAACAGAAATCAGCACAATTTGCTTAATGAAATTAGGGACAGTTGAACTACACAAAGCCAGCCGCTGGTTGAGAGAAGACAGCATTTACGGCAGGACGGCAGCTCGCTAACACACAAGAACTTGACCTGAGTGTGTTGTTGTCCCCCGACCACACACCTGCTCGTCTGACTCCACACCGCTCGTAAGCTCTCAAGTGAGGCACCACCTCGCACCTGGCCACCTCTAAACCTCTACTAGACCCAGGGAGTCCAGAGTGGGCTCAAAGGGGAGGCATGCATCAACAGACAAAGGAAGAAAGGGACCCTTCCAAGAAGGAAGGGAATGAGGAAGCCCCCATGTCGGCTTCTGCTGAAGCCCTGGACAGTCCCTCCTCTGAGAGTTTGGGAGCTCAGGCAGAGCAGGCCCGAGCTACCCTAACACCAGACCCCCGCAGTGGATGTGGGTTTTTCTGTAAGCCGTGGTGTCTGCTACTCGCACTGACCCTACTCCTGCTTTCTCTCCTTGGCAGCTGGGCAGTGGTCCACCTCACCCTGGGGACCCATGGAGGATCTCCTTTTCGAGTCTCGTCCAGCTACGATCAGCGGATTCCACAGGATGACGCAGCCACCATCGAGCCCCATTTCACCACCAACTGCACCATGGGTAAGTTGGCATATCCATTCCTTTCAGAAAAGGTTGTAGGGTAATGATGATGCTGCCCTTTACATAGCCACTTATATCTTTGATCTATTGTTGATTTTGTTGAATGTCAAATTTCTGTCAATTGTGCAAAACTAAAAAAAGATCAGCTAATCTGTAAAACAATCTTTACATTAACCAACAACGACAAATATTTGTTAGGGGAAAAGATTAAATGTGAAGTGGTCCAAACAAGTACAAACAAATGTATTAGGTGAGCTTCCTTTTGTTTTCAGTTGTTTTCTTTTGTTTCCGTTGTATATATCTGGACTAAATGTGTCTCACATGTCTGCAGAGTGACCAAGTTCCCAAAGCAGCACAAACATGTCAAACTGGAAATTGCTCAGCTCCATTCTGTGATTTTTAACTTCATTACACCATGTTGTGCAATGAAATGCGTAGACGGCTCGAGACTGAAATAATATCCTTCTCTCTCAACCTCGAAAGCTCCTGAAATTGGATTAATATAACTGATTCAATTTCCTCTGAGCTAGATACAGAAGCACAGCAACTCTTGCTTAAACATTTCAAGTTTGTATTGCTGTGGAAATATGTATAAAATGTTTCCTCTAACAGACAGGTGTTTGGTAGGCACCAAGCAGGTGATGTTTTAATGGAACATATTGTAGATATATGATAGTATGCATTTAATATATATCATTATTTTTCAACCAGCTACTTGTTGAAAATAGGCATGAGATTCTGAATGAGTGAAGTGGTGAGTGTCATTTCAGGGTTATGTAAGAAAAGTTACCCAACATGTTTACCAGACCAGTGGTTTTTAAACTGGGGTCCTTGGACCAACAGGGGTCCTTGAGTGGGTTGTAGGGGGTCCCCAGAAAAAGGAAGAACAGAATATTTCAACTTTTATGACATTTTTTGGGAGTTAGAACAAAAACAAAAATTGGTTGGACGTTTTGATTGATTATAATTCATAGTGTTCCTAGTTTGAGCTTTGATTGAGCATGAACACCTTCTTTATCGTCAAACCTAAAAAATAGATATTACGGATCCGTATTTGTACTTGCTTCATGTCCTTACAGACTTACCTTTTTACTGAATCTAGATTTTCAATATTAATATATTTATATTTTCATTGTAACATTATCATACTTCCCTGTTTATTCACGTCAACTTTGTTCATGTTCTAGATGTTGCTATTTTACTGTACATGTTTAAACAGACATTTTATGAAAGTTTTTTTTTTTTTCAGTGTAAAATGTTAGATAAGCTTCTTAGTTTGCAATTTATTTGTGATTTATAGTTATTCCAAAAATACTCTTTAGAGGCACATGAGATACTGTGCTGTGCTTTATTGCATCTGCACTACAGGGAACATGCTGAATGAACTATAAAAGCTGCCTTTGACATTCAAAAGCAACCCTAGTGCAATCTGAATATCTAAACAAAAAACAGTGAGACCAGATTTATAGATTTATGGAGATTCTAATGGAAATTCAGTCAGTACATAAAAAATATGATCTTAGTTTGTGTCTTATTAGTATTAATTTATTAATTGTGGTCTCAAAAGTGTTCTCTAAACAGATAACATGAAAACACAAGTAAAGGTTAGCTTAGTTTATTTTTCCTGTCTGTAGGATAGTGGCATAAACAAGGTTACTGGACACAGTGTATACCTTGGAACATTTTCTTGTTATATGAGCAACTGTTTCCTACCCATCACCTATTATCATTCTCAGTTGCCCTGATTTTATGGCTAGAGGTTTTTGGGCGGATCACTTGGGGCGAACGACAGACAGATGGACCAGCATCATGCGCAACATCCACTTTAATCCAGTTCATGTAATGCTACACACATTCAACTATCTCTTTTTACAGAACCATACATTACATCCTAAAAAAATTCTTCATTCCCCAAGGCTTTTTGAATTCAGACAGATGTGCACAGTCCAAATTGAATTTCTTCTACTGTTATAGAGTCAGAGTCTCTTTGAGCTCTACAAAAATGTAATAGCTTTTATGCTCGGTCAGTATTTAGCTCCGGATGAATGAGAAACATCGTTAAACAGGAAAGATTTTTCTAGCTCTAATTCCTCAAATTCGGTTCAAATGGGATGTTTGGACTTGAGGTCAGGTAAGAGCAGTTAGCTACAGGGAACAATTCATCATTTGATGCATCTGAGTTTCTCACAGCTTGCCAACACTCCAAACCTGATAACAGATCAGGAACACCTGACTCCCCTATTACGTTATCTGCATCTGGTTGTCAAATATGTAAATGCATGTGAGAAAGAGAGGAAGTGAGAGAGATAATGAAAAAGACAAAACAATGAACATTTAACTTTAACTCCTGCTTTAACCTAGACTATGCTAATCTTAAACTTAAAACTAAGTCCTTGTTCTTAAAGTTGTGCTTCATATAAGGGCTGAGAGAATAAGACACTTCTCCAAATTGTTCCTGGAATCACTTTGCATGAAAGTACAAAACAAAAAAAAACACAACAGTTCCTTAAATCCACACACACACACACACACACACACACACACACACACACACACACACACACACACACACACACACACACACACACACATAAACAATCTATCCCACTAGAGCATCAGTGATTCTTTGTCTAACTGTCCTTTCTGTCACTGTAAGGAAAGGGCATAGCGGGTGCTGATTTGCTCATGCAAATCTAGCCTCGGTTGAACAGTGTCTAATTGTTCTCTACTCTGGGTTCACTGTGTTCCTCTTACCAGGCAGCACATAAGCCATGGCTAGTAGAAAGAAAAAAGCATGCAGACGTGCTGTACTCTCCTCAGGCACCACCTGGGTCCCCAGTAGAACACCCACTACACACATCCCACTCTCAAACTAAACCTTAATCCGTCTCGGCACGCTCACCGTGTGGCCTCGCCGTATTTTGCGGTGTTCTAAACCTCCCCCACTTTCCCCTCCAGCACCTGTCACAAACCTGGGCTCAAATTACCTTCCTTCCTACCTAGCGCAGAACATGAAGCCAAGGTGCTCGATTAAGGCTCTCATACTCATTCCCTGGCAAGGACAGTTGTTTGCTGTATTTCTTCCTCTTCTTCTTTTAAAAGTTGCTGAGTACTGCTATTAATGACATGTATTTTCAAGCTTTTGGGGCAAAGCCTAGTCCAAACTTGGGTTTGACTAATTGGATTTAATTTGGACATAATGGTTTGAAGTTTTCAGCACAGAGAAGTCTTTGGACATGTTTTATGTTTCTTAGTGGTATGGTTGCATAATGGTTTCCTGCAGACAGAAAAGCGTGATTTGTACAAAAAAATTCTCCAATCAGTGAGAGAGAAAAACATGCTAATGATTCATTTCATTTACGCCCTCTTGTGGTACGTTATTACGTATTGTCTTTTGGGAATGTCTGCCTTAAGATATTAACAGTCAGAAGTCATAATGTTCTCCACTTACTGTCAGCTGATTCAAATTAATCTAAATCACATACATAAATGTAGTCTTAATCAGCTCTCCTTGTGATCTTTTGAATCTGAATTGGAAATTTAACAATGTCCATTTCCTCCCTCTCAGTTGTTTTCTTAAGCAGAAAGGCAGCGATTACTCAAGCCAGTGAAGTGTGAGGAGATATAGTCAATACAGGATAAATAAATGGAGCAGTGTCTGACTTCTTTCTCCATACCCTTCCACTTTAATTAACTCATCAGTCACAGGGCCAACAAGCAATCCAATTTGTTGCCCCTAAAGTGACTTGTGTGGTTATATGCCTATCTACAGAGCTCATCCTCTTGACAGGAAGTTAGAATCCCGCCTTCTGCTAGTATTTTTCTGATGGCTGTGGCACAGCCGCACAGAGAACGTAATTATTCAAGCACAGCAAACCCCGTCAATGACACTCTTAACCTCCTACAGTTTCTCATCCTGGAAGTAAACAGAAACTACTGTGATGATTGACAAGCTCATTACCAGATTGTGTCAACAGAAGATTTGACTTTGCCTCTAAGGCAAAAGTACTAAGGCAAGGCAGAAGGTCAAATTTGCCTTCACACTTATAACAATGTTTGTCCATTGAAGAGCATATTTGTATATGAGCACATGTATTACCCTGCAAACTGTCACAATTCATTTTTCCAACTGGACATGTAGCTGAGACAAGGCAGCGGTGAACCCCGTGGGAATTTGAACCAGTGACCTTCCCTTCCATGGCCCATTTCCCTAACCATTACACCTTGCTGCTGCGGGCCCTTAATGGAGCGTTACGGCGAGTCTATACTTTGCGATTAGGTACACTGCAGCGTGAGGGTGTCCCTAGGCCCATCAATCACACCCGACCCTGTGTAGTCAATGAGGGAAATGGGTTTGGTGAAAGCCGGTGGAGTGGACAGAGTTTCACCAAACCCATTTCCCTCATTGCCTCCACAGGGCCGGGTGTGATTGATGGGCCTAGGGACATGTGGATGGATGAGCGATGTTTTTTTTAGAGAGAAAAAAAAAAGCCATTCAGTATCACTGTGGTACTGAGACTAGCCTTTAAATACACAGAATATATCCAGTTTAAGCCTTTAATTGAGTTTTCAATTTCATTTTGACTGCATGAATAAAATAAACTCATCCCTCGAGCTTTTGTTATTGGGTTACAAGCACAGGCTGATATTTAACAAAAATAAAACCCTCACACTGTAACAACAATCACACTCGTTTTTATGAAATTAAAAGAATGTCAAATTTTCAGAAAGTGTATAAGGTTTGAGGGATGTCATACAGTGATGCAGTGCCCCATAAGGATGAGTGATAGAGTATAACTACATAACATTCCAAGTTTCCCATCAGTCGTGTATAGACTCATCAGCTCTGAATTGGCTCATCAATCCATAGAAGCACGTGTGCAGACTGAATAATGTCACAAAGTGTGATTTTTCTCCGAAACACACCCTGTATGTAGATCTTCAGATGTTTGTTCAAGATTTGCCTCCTGCAATGTCCATGCTGGATCAGTTCTTTTAAC